GTGGGCTTTTTTTATCTTTAATTTGTGTTTGGTTGGGGCATTATCCAAAATCTCAAAAGAATCACAGATAGCCAGATTTTTGCAATTAACAGATGAATTTAAGTGTTTAAATGTATGAGATTGTTTATCACTTTTAAGGTGCTCATTTATTCTAGTTGCCAAATGTCTGGAGGTTTCTCCAATATAACTGGCATTACAGTCAGCGCATTTAAGCAATTTAGGAAGTGACTTTTTTAGGCAAAAACAATCTTGTATTTTATTAGTAGTGAAAATTAATTTTAGTAAGACATCCTTGCAATATTTATGAACAATTTTTGAAATTTTTATTTTAAAACAGAAGGTGTATCTGTAATGAAAAAAGAAAGAAAAATTTCTCAACAATCAACTAAAAAACAATGAATCAAAACCTCAACTTAAAAGTGAAATTTCCCATTTGGCTAACAATTACGTATACAAATACACTCCATCTGAAATTGTCTAAGAAAACATAAAATATTAAAAAGACTTCGGAATAATGAGAACATTGTTATTACACAACCCGACAAAGGAAAAGGTATAATTGTTCTTAATAAAGTTGATTATATGAATTCATTACACAATATTATAAGTAATAAGGCTAAAGAATTAAAAGAGGATCCAACTATAAAAAGAGAAATATCTTTACAAGGGTATCTTAGAAAACTTTATAAGCTTAAATGTTTTGAAAAAGACATTTACACTATAATCTATCCTGTAGGATCTCAACATGCAAGAATTTACGCGTTACCTGAGTTGCGTAAAGTTAGTAAAGATAGTTCTCTTCCAACATTTCGACCTATCATCTCAACAATCGGAACATATAAGTATAATCTAGCCAAACATCTTTCTCATTTATTGTCTCCTCATATACCCAAACAATTTTGCACTTTAGACTCATTTTCTTTTGTTGAAGAATTAAAAAAAATTAATGTAACTAATAAATTTATCGTTTCATATGATGTTGAAAGTTTGTTCACGAATATTCCACTTAAGGAATCCATTAACATAGCAACTGATTTTTTTTTTAAAGATAAAATTAACTCAAAACGTTTTTCAAAAATTCAGTTTAAAAAATTACTTCAGATTTCCACATCCGTTTCACACTTTTTATTTGACGGAAAATATTACGATCAAACGGATGGTGTTGCTATGGGTTCTCCTTTAGCGCCCATCTTAGCTAATATTTTTGTCGGATTTCATGAACAAACATGGATCAATAACTGGTCCTTTACAGCACCATTATTTTATAAACGGTATGTGGAGGATATAAATGCTAATTTTAATTCTGAATATGAAGCTCAAGAATTTTTCAAACACCTCAATAAACAACATAAAAATTTGAAATTTACTACGGAAAAAGAACAAGATAACCAGATTGCCTTTTTAGATGTACTTATTAAAAAATCCAATTCATTGTTGACTTCAGTTTATCACAAAAAAACATATACAGGTCTTTTACAAAATTTTTCAAGTTTTATTCCTTCTTGCTACAAAATTGGACTTGTTCGTTGTTTGATTGATCGTACAATTAAAATTTTAATACTTGGGTTGGTTTTGATAAAGATATTAAGAATCTATCATTACTTTTACTAAATAATAAATTTTCACTACTAATAAAATACAAGATTGTTTTAGCTTAAAAGAGTCACTTCCTAAATTGCTTAAATCTCATGTTGTCTATAAATTTTCTTGCGCTGGCTGTAATGCCAGTTATATTGGAGAAACCTCCAGACAATTGGCAACTAAAATAAATGAGCACCTTAAAAGTGATAAACAATCTCATATATTTAAACACTTAAATTTATCTGTTAATTGCAAAAATCTGGCTAACTGTAACTTTTTTGAGATTTTGGATAATGCCCCAACCAAACACAAATTAAAGATTAAAGAAGCCCTCCACATTAAATGGGAAAGCCCCTCACTTAATAAACAAACTTCACAATATGCTATAAACTTATCTATTTAATTTTACTGTCAGTTTATCATTATTATTAACTTTTTTTTTTTTTTTTTTGACAGTTAGTTATTTTGATTGGTTATTTACCGAGTTATTTTCTAATAAATATATTGGTTCATTATGTAAATTTTTTTCCCTTATTATTTCTCTGTAAAAACTTCTATTTTATATATATATATATATATATATATATATATATATATATATATATATATATATATATATATATATATATATATATATATATATACATATATATATATATATATATATATATATATATATATATATATATATATATATATATATATATATATATATATATATATATATATATATATATATATATATACAGTGGCGGATTAAAACTTCTTGGGGCCCGGAACTATTTTTATTTATATATATATATATATATATATATATATATATATATATATATATATATATATATATATATATATATATATATATATATATATATATATATATATATACAGTGGCGGATTAAGACTTCTTGGGGCCCGGGACTATTTTTATTTTTGGAGGCCTTTTTATGGGCCAGACCCTTTATATATATATATATATATATATATATATATATATATATATATATATATATATATATATATATATATATATATATATATATATATATATATATATATATATATTTGTTTGTTTCTAAATTTTTTTATTAGAAACAAAATAAATTTTAACTTTTTTTACAAGTCTTTGTAATATGGTTGCAGGTTTTTCTTAACTTTTAATAAATAAGCTTAAGAAAGCCGTATTACTTTTGATGGCAAATTAATTTTGATTTGCATTTATTTTGTTTTTTTATATATATTTGTTTTGAGAATTATTTTTTTTTATTTTTCGAGTAAGATTTTTTTAGTTATTTATTAAGTTTTTTTATTTTATTGATAACTTTAGAGTAGTAAAAAAAAAAAATAATTGTGTTGCTTTGATAAATATGTTTAATGAAAATGATGACATTGAAATGGATGATAGGCTAGATGAAGTTATTTACAAAATAATATAAGTGTTATAAAGGGTGTTGAAAATAATCGTAGACGAAATGAAAGAAATAGACTTAGGCGAGATGAAATTAATCATTTAAGAAAATGAAAGAAATAGACTAAGGCGCGATAGAAAGTTATTCGTCGCCAAAATGAAAGAAATAGGCTAAATCAAGGCGAAGTTAATCGTCGCCAAAATGTAAGAAGATCTGTTGGACAAGGAAGAATGTATTCTATAGCAATAAGTAATGCTATTCCAATCTGTTGGACAAGGAAGAATGTATTCTACAGCAAGACGTAATGCTATTATTTAGGAGAAATGAATCAAATTTGTCAGCACTGTGGTGCTGACAAATTTGATTCATTTCTCCTAAATAATAGCATATATATATATATATATATATATATATATATATACATATATATATTCAAAAAATTTCCAGATGAAACTCATTTTCTATGTTGCCATAATGGTAAGGTAGCTTTGCCTCCACTTTCACCATTTACTCAAGCTTTGCAGGATTTAATTAAAGGAAGTTATGTAGATCGTAATACTAATGTCAATTTTTTTAAACATATTCGAAATTATAATGCCTGTCTTTCTTTCGCTTCTTTTAAAGCAGATGTAGTTCAACCAATAAATCATGGGCTTCCATGCTTTAAAATATGTGGTCAGATTTATCATTGTGTAGTTAATCTTAGGCCAGATCAAGATATTCCACCAAAATACTCTCAACTATATATTTATGATCCACTTGCAGCAGTAAATTTTAGAATGAAATAACGTGGTAATGATCTTTGTTTACGTGATTTAATGTTTCGATTGCAAACTACAATTACTGAACAAAGTTCATTTGCTCTTGCATTTACAAACATGACTGAAGTAAAAGATGAAGAAATTCGTCAAGCGGCTCTAGAAGGTCGCTCAGCTTCTGTTGTAAAAATGTCTTTACTTGAATAGGGTGATAAACGTCGCTATAATCTACCTTCACATGATGAAGTTGCTGTTGTATTTTCTGTTGTATGGTAAACCAGATCTTTTTATTACTTTTACTTGTAACCAAAACGGCGTGAAATAACAGAAAATTTATATCCGGGTCAGACTGCGAATGATAGACCTGATTTGGTTACTAGAGTATTTAAACTCAAGTTAAATAACCTCCTCAATGATATATTCAAACATGGTGTATTGGGCAAAGTTGCAACGCATGTTCAGGTTATTGAGTTTCAAAAGCGTGGTTTGCCGCATGTCCACATTTTACTTCATTTAGCCAATGATGATAAACTTGAAACAGCACAGGATATCAATAATTTAGTATGTGCAGAAATTCCTGATCCAATTGTTAACCGTGAACTTTACGATATTATTAAAACTTCTATAATTCACGGCCCAAGTGGGATACTGAATCCTAATTTTCCCTACATGAAAGATGGGGTGTCTAGCAAAAATTATCCTAAACAATTTAGTGCCAACACAGTAGCCGTTCACATTGTTTATCCACAATATATACGTCGTGATGATGGGTTTGGATATCAATATTAAAGGCAACAATGAAGATAACCGTTGGGTGGTACCTTACAATCCTTGTTTATCTGAGAAATATCAAGTCCACATTAATGTTGAAGCTTCCATGTCTGTAAAAGCTGTTAAATATTTGTACAAATATATATACAAAGAGTATGATTGTGGCAATGTTTTGATAAATGAACAGGTTAATCACGATGAAGTAAACACTTTTTTAGATTGTTGTTATGTTAGTGCGCCTGAAGAACTGTGGCAAATATTTGAGTATCCCATTAGTCATATGTCACACACTATTATCAGTCTTAAGGTTCATCTTCTTGAGAATCAGATAAAATATTTTAGAGAAGGAGAAAAACAAGTGGCTTTAGATCGTGCTGCTCAACGCGATACACACCTTACGGCATGGTTTAAATTAAATTACGAAAATGAAGGAGCGCATTGCTATTCATATGTAGATATTCCATCACTTTGTATTTCATAATAAACATTGAAAATGGAAGGTTAGAAAAAGAGGTGGAAATGAGGTGACAGTAAGAATGTATAAAGTTAGTCCAACAGGAGAATTATTTTTTCTTAGATTGTTACTTTTGCAGGCAAAAGGAGCAACATCTTGGGAGGATTTGCGTACTGTTAATGGAATAGTACTTGAAACCTTTCGTGAATCCATGCGTTATAAAAGGTTTGTTGTAAGATGACACTGAATGGCAGAATACTCTTTCTGAGGCAGTTTTAACGCAAATCCCTAAGCAATTTAGACAGCTGTTTTCAATTATTTTAACCTTTTGTGAACCTGACGACCCTTTGCATCTTTGGAATACATACAAAACTTTTATGATGGATATTTCATTCATTGCCAAGTTTCGTTTGTATTAGCTGAACAAGCAACTCTTCGTCAAATCGAAAAGATTATTAATCAAAGTGGTAAAATGCTATCTGATTATAATTTGCCTGTTGTTGATAAATTTAGGATTTTAATCTAGAAAATTTAAATGATTATGTTCAGCAATCAATTGACGAAGCTAATAGAATGAGACCGCTTCTCAATGTCAATCAATTAAATGTAAGTAATGCTGTCTTTGCTGCATTGAAAGAGCAACCAAGTGTAGAAAATAAACATTCCAGATTGTTTTTATAGATGGACCAGCCGGTAGTGGCAAAACTTTTACATATAATTATTTGATTGCTGAAACGAGCAGTAGGGGTGTTAAATCTGCTACAGCTGCATGGACTGGCATAACACCAACTCTTCTTACAAATGTATCTATCTAATATCTATACTGCACGGCTTATTTTAACTTCCTGACCCAATACTGGAAAACAGCACATGTAATGTAACTCCTAACTCTATTCAGGGACAATTTTTAAGGCAAGTTAGTTTGTTTATGGTTGACGAGACATCCATGATTCCCAAACACGCTTTAAATGCAATCGATCAGTTGTTAAAAGATATTTGTAACAACAACTTTCCGTTTGGTAGCAAAGTAATTCTTTTTGGTGGTGTTGTGAAATAAAAGACGACCAGCTGAAGTTGTAGAATCATGTATAAAATTTTCTTTACAGTGGCAATGGGTGCAGAAGTTTACATTAACTGAAAATATGATAGTACGTGATGGAGAAGGAGAATTTTCCGAACGGCTGTTAAAACCGCAACAGTGCTGGAGAAAACGAATCGATTGTTGAAAAAATATTTGGAGATGCTAAACAAGATGGTTATGCTAAACGTGTCATTTTAACACCCACTAATGTGGATTCTATGACTATTCAAGGTCAAACGTTTGATAAAGTTGGTGTTTATTAAAAAAAACCATGTTTCTCTCATGGTCAATTATATGTAGCGTGTTCAAGAACAAGGGCGTTTAATAGTTTGTTTTTTAAAGTTGATAAACAGGATGTTTATTTTATTTATTCAAGGTATGATAGATAAAAAATGTTACACAGATAATCCTATATTTTTTAATGTTCTTAATTTATAGTCTTTAGATTTTCATTTCAAAAAAGGTTGTGAGCACATTTTGTATGTATAACTTTGTTTATTATTTTAATTTTTTTTTCATAGTTTTTGATAAATATATCTGTCATTTAATATTGTTATAAAATGTTTTTATATGTGTTATATAAAGTCATATTTATTTATAGTTGTATATATGTTTAAATTATGTTGTTTCCATGTTTCAAAGTGGTGTGACTTGGCAAGTGTGTAGAGCAAGTTTGATAACCTTACTAATTAAGCAGTGTACTTATAGTAGAGGTGTGACTTGGCAGCATATAGTGCCAGGCGGTATTACTGCTTTAGAGCTAGGTTGTGTTGTCTAGCCTTTTTTAATTATTCTGGAAACACATAATAATGTCTGTTAATGTTTGTTAATGTTTAGCGTAATGTGTATGAGAGAGTATGCAGCCTTAATCTTTAAATCTAGGGTGCTTTAATGTCCTAAACTTGAAATAATTGAATAACTAATATTGAAAATAAAAACAAGTATACTTTATTAAAGTTTAGTAAAAAGATAAATATAAGTAACTCTAAATTGGTTTTTTTAATTTTGCATTTAATATTTTTAATTTGATGTGTTATTTTCACTGGATTTTAGGATCAAGGGTACAAATATGCTATGTGCTATTGTTATGTGTTATTGTTGTAATGTTATTATGATATTTTGTGTTATGGTAGACAACTTGGCTTCCCTTCCCTTTGATGTCTATTGTTACAAATAAATAATAAGTAGTTTCATTACTGCTTTTATTTATTTACTAAAAGCCAAGGAAACATTTTGCTAAAAATGCAATTTTTATCTTAATTTGATTTTTTTTTTAGTATTGTTAATCCTTTTGTACTTCGAAACGCATTTGTCAAATATCGAGTTACTTAAGTTTTATTTACGTGTTTAACTAATTAGTTAACTTAGTCTGCATTTGCAACACTTTTGAGGAAAGAAAACATTCATATATATGTAAATCATTGTTTTACATTTTATTATTTGGTAAATGGTCTTCATCAAAAACTTGATTACTCTTAATAAAAAAAACTCTTCTCACCTGGCCACCATTAAAGCAAAAAGAGGGAAGGAACCTTTTTATTTCGCAAAATTTTTAGGAAAATTAAATATCGAGTAACAAAAGGAATTTTCAGTAAATGGTAGCAATTTATCATTTACTAAAAATTAATGATAAAGAGGCCAAACAAATAATATAGAAATAGTCTGTGTAGAGCAGACTTAACAAGACCCGGGTCTGGTCAGCTTGGTTTACAAATTTTTATGTCTACTTGTCTGTTACAATTTTTATTGCATAAAGTTTACATATTTTTTATACACGTTTGATTGTAAATTAAATTTTTTTTGTTTGAAACGTATTTGTACTCAGTTGCTTAGTTATTTATAATAAACTTAGTTATTTTTTATAAATTTATTTAGTTGTGTAAAAGGGGGAAGCCGCCCCTAAACAGAAGTATTGAACATTTTAAACAAAATCAAGAATATAAAACATTAATATAATATGAATAAACAAAATCCTTGAAAAAAATACAAATGGTTTTTGGTTGCCATAGTAACCACAAAAAACACAAAAAAGGGCATTCACACCAATCTCTTAAAATCTCTTAAAATGCTTCCACCAAATGCTTCACAAAAGGTCAAAGTGTGTTTTAATAGCGCCATCTCTTTTTATTTTTGAGGCATGCTTCACTCATTATTTCTGAATCTGAATCAATAAATTCATCGGTGTTATAAATATCTTGTATAGATATTTTAAAATAGTTCCATTTTGCCTTTAAATCAGTTAGTTCTTCCCTTAAATTTGAGGCTACAGCTGTTTTATGATATTTTACTAGTAACTTTCTGAGCTCTTCTACTCTGTTTTCTGAACATTTATTGTCGGTAGAATTTTCAGGGTCTAATACTTGCATGTCTGCATATAATTTTCCATGATTTTTAAAATGTTTTCTATAGTATTTAGTGTGATATCCATAATGACGTTAAACATGGTTATTATGTATTTTTTGATTGGGTTTTGAAATTCATGATCTTTGGCTATTTTGGCTATTAAAACATTAAAGTGTTGTGAAGCAAATTTTTAATCCAGGCCCCTAAATTAGTTCTTTGCTCTCCCCTCCCTTCCCTTTTCTTGACAAAATTATAAATGAAAATAAAAAACTTATTTTTAAATACAATTTTGATTTAATTAAATAGAAACCAGTATGTTACACTATACAAGTCTAGTAAGTAGAAAATATAATGAAAGTTTTATTGTGGACAAGGGTAAAATGCAAAAATGCGGAAGTTTTCTCTTGTAAAATGCGTAAAATTTTTCTTAATCCTAAGCTTATCGCTGTCCCAACCAAAACAATAAGTCAACGATGGTAGATTCAATCTTCTTAGTCTTTTGCAGTATTAAAAATGTCTTAAGCTGGAAGTCCATTTTGTTGCTTTGCGTTGAATAGATTCAACCAAAGTTTTATCAGTTTTTAAATAACAAGCCCAAATAGACACTGTATATTTATGGTATGGCCTAATAAACACTTTATATAACTCGAGATCCATATTTTCATCAATTAAAGTAAACGTCTTTTTGCATACCAAAAATTTGTAAGGACTTTGACACAACTGTTCAAAATGCGTGCTCCATTTGGCGTTACATGAAAAATGACTCTAAAATTTTGTACTTTAATAGAGCTTATTAGTGATTGATTTATTATACCTTTTTATTTTGTTTCACATTTAATTTTAACATAAGTCTATTTTGAGGGAGAGAATCAACGCTTTGGCGAAATCAAGATGACATCAATAAACTGGTGAAATACTATAGAAGATGAAGTAATATCAAAATTCTCAATTAAATTTGTCACACGTAACTTATGGTGAAGAAAGTCATGTTGATTTGCAGAGAGCATTTTATTATCGTTAATGAGCTTAAAGGTATTGTTTTTAACAAGTATTTTGGTTATTTTTTAGGCAATAGAGTTTAGTGAAATAGATCGATAGTTTTCAGCAAGTAATTTATCTTCCGTTATTTTATATACCTAAAATTATAGAACTAAAATTTGCTAATTTCTAGAGAATGAGTAGTATTCCAGAGCTAAAGAATTTATGAAAGATTTTTGTAAATGGAAAAAATATTTATAAGGGCTTAGATTGGTAAGTTAATAATGTTTGATATAGAAAAATTCATGTTGTCATTATAAGTTTATTCAGGTTAGTATCACTTTTTTAACGATGGAAGTTATTCAGAGGGATGTTAATATTTTTTTCTTTTTTAAGTGCTCTTTTGGCTTTAAATATTTCAGCTTTTATGGAGTGAATAGCAGTTTGTTTTAAGTTTATTATTTTCTTTTCTTAAATGGATTTTTTTTGCTCGGATTAGGTTTGTGGTATTAGGATTTTGGAGTAACCCGTGTGTATGTGGAGTAAAATTGGATTAAGTATGTCGAGTAACTCTAGGATCATTTTTTGTTTTTTTGTATTATTAAACTTGGGTATAAAATATTCG